GTTAAAGTATATTATAGCTATTGGAAATTTGTCAGAATAGTGGATTAATTATAGTTATGTATTCTTATTTGTAGGAAGCTTTAAGCTAAGTGATTTCTAGCAAGTGTGGCCGAGTTTAGGCACTATTCAAGGTACATATGCGCATAGAAATATTATGTATGCGTAGTATCATGTTAGGATTGTAAAGTACGTTTCAAGTGATGAATTAGTAGCATGTTTGGTCGACTATATGCTTAATTGGATTTGATGTTGGTTGATCATGAATTATTATGCAAGCACGTGAACATGTTATTTGAGGCATGATACAAGTTGAATATGTATAAATCATGGAAATATGTTTTATTTTCAAGTACCAAGAAAGCATGAATTTAATAAGCAAGGCATATGTATGTTTAAAAGAGCTAAAGTTAGAATTATTGAACATGATTCATGATTTTATTTCTCACCCATATAATATGGCAAGGAACCTTAATTAAAATAAATAGTATGTACTCACTAATTAAATCAAGAATGAAATGGAAGTATGTGTTGAGTATTGTTATGTTTGTTCTTGATTGAATGGTTGGAGTCATCACAAGTTAAATTGGTAAATCGCGTAAAGTGTAAGAGAATACGCACTAAAACTTTTGGAACGTATACAATTGGAGTTTGAACATATGGGGGGAGTTATGGGGTTCATATTTAACCATAGCTTCTACAGGGGTACAGGACGATGTACTTTCTTTTATTATTTATAAGCTGGAATTCCGTCAGAAGGTGACATAGTAGGTGCCAATTAGGGTAGCTCCCTAATTAGAAGCTCAATATTTTAATGGGTTGTTTTTAAGGAAGGAAACACGTTCGATGCGTAATCCAAAGCTATTAATTATTAATTAATATTGTTAGTTATGAGTCAAAGGTAAGTTGACATGTGAATTGTATGGCGAGCATGATTTAATTATTTATTGATAGGATGAGCATGTTAGTGTGGTACATATGTACTTAGCTTTTGCTGATTTGTACTTTTGTGTTTGTGTTGGCTTTCCTTTGGATTGGCCCTACTATGACCCATTTATATGGTGAGTAGAGGGGTTAAAATAAAGGGAAAGTGACAGGTACTTGATGCATGAAGAGCATGAAGGGAATGAGTGTAGAGAGTTACTTGTTATGTTTTCTTAGTTTTATATTTTGAATTATTGATTTATTATTCATGGACTAACATTATTATGCTTTATTTTAAGTTAGTTTTGAAAGGGCCATGTTTATATTGGTTCCAACTTGTTAACGTTTTATTTTACTTATGTTTTGAGGTTGTGAACTCAAGTTTTATTTTGAATAGTTGGTTTTAAGTTTTAAACTTCCGTTGTGTGACTTTGAAAATAGCCTTATCCGTTATCACGGTGGTGGTAATATTTTGGTTATTTCCTAAAATGAGTTTAATTTAAAGTAAAAAGAGTATTTTAGAAGGAAGAATTGTCCAAGGTATTACGATTGCGGTTGGCCGTCGGCGGACTAAGTGGGTTAGTCCTCCTCCTCGGTCACTGGCAAGCCCTTGCGACAGAGTCAAGCCCGTGTGTGGTATCCTGCTTTTGATCCCCTACTGCTTCGCTTCTTTGTTAAAAACCACTCAACTACAAACCATCGTAGTTGCTGACGGTGGCATCTGTTAGTGGTAGGGCTGAGCAAAACTATCTGAAAATCCGATAATCCGATCAGCACCCGATTCGAAATTTACGGATATCCGATCCGAAAAAGTCGGATATCGGATCGGATATCCAAATATTAGATTTCGGATATCCGATATCCGAAAAAAATTCGGATACCGGGTATCGGATCGGATATCTGATCCGTAATCTGAAGAAATCACTCATTACTCCAATATTTCAGTACTCCATATTATTTTTTACATCATATAAAAACTACCAAACCCTAACAATTGAGTCCCCACGCCCCCCACCCGCCTCTCTTTCTCTTCTCCTCTTTTTCTCTCTCTAGCTTTCTCAGATTCTCTCTCCTTTCCTCATCTCAAATTCTCAAGCAATTAAATCTCAATTTTCTCAGATCTCCTCAACCAAGACAACCATTCAAGTATTCAACCCTAACTTTCTCTCTCCACTCCACTCCTCACCTCACTCTCAATCTCTCAGATCTCAGGCTCTCACTCAGCCTTCACGCCCGGCTCAGCACCTCATCACGTCGGTATGTTTTCACTTCATCAGCTGCTCACCGTCATCAACGGTGGTTCTTAACCATTGGGAGTTCCACTAATTGAACACCATTACAATTAGAACCATTGCGAGTTCGCGAAGGTGGAGCGTCATTTGGTTGATTGTAATTTGATGAATTAGATTTTGATTTTTTTTTTATTATTAGAATTTGAAGGTTCTAGAGCAGGCTACATGGGTATTTTATTAAAAGATGTTGTGTTTTGATGTACGCTTAGAATTGAATTACTAGTTCTCTAATGGAAAATATTGTGTTATGTGAAATTGCATTTGGATATCATTACATATTTGTCTTTAAAAATAAATTATTTTTGCCATTACATTAGTATATACCAAATTATTAAAACTTAAAGGCTTGGTGTTTCAAAAAAAAAATCGGGTATTGGATATCCGAATTATCCGATCCGAAATTTTCGGATATCCGGATATCGGGTATCCGAAAAATTTCGAATCGGATACGGATATCAAATAACCATTTTTTCGGATACGGATATCCGATCCGAAATCCAATTTTGGATCGGATATACGATGCATGCTCACCCCTAGTTAGTGGTTGCAACCTGACCATCAAGTGCTCTTAAACTTATTGTTGATTCTACTCTCTTATGGGTCTCCCTAAGTAAGGTCCATTTGGTTTTTTAAGCTTTGTTCCACCAATTTTTAACTTAGTCAATTTTTTGATGGATTGTCACTTTCTGCTTAATGCCCTTATGCAAACTCACTTGAATGACGATTATGATAAAAGTATTGTGAATTTTGCTACCAATAATTGCCCTCGGAATATCTTTAATCAAGAAAAAATCTTAAAAGATGAGGGTAACTCTTATTTTAAACATGATGAGCTTGTTTCAGCTTGGGCTACGTATGATAAAGGTTTGAAATTTCTATGTTTCGAATTACTAAGGAATGAGGAAGATAATGTTATGCTATAGAATCTTGCTATTGCTTTAGAATTAAATCTTGCAGCTTGTGCCTTGAAGGTCCATGATTATGGACAAACTAAGGAACTTTGTACCTTAGTCATCGAGCTTGATGGTAGCAATGCTAAAGCTCTTTATAGAAGGGCTTTAGCATAGATTAAGCTTAACCATGCAACTGGAAGAGGCTTACGAGGACCTTGGCAAGGCAGCCAGGTCAAAGCCTAATAACCAGGACATCCCCCGTGAACTCTAGAAAGTGAAGGGCCTAAGTTGTGAGACAACTAGGCAAGCAAGCTCATTGGTAAGAAGGCATTCTGTCATGACTAATTGTAACTACAACAAAAAAGGGGGAAAATCAGTGAGTCACCTGTTAGCCTAGTGCAATACCCAGTTCTGGTAGCGATGACTAGAGCGATGTTACTAGCTTGCCCTCTATAGGCCACGCTAGTAAGATGGAGGTAGAGAGTCCCGTCCTTACCCACAATGTGTATGCTCCTTTAATTTGGAAAATGAGAAAGATGGTTCAACCTGCCCCCTAAACGATCAGGAATCAAGACAGGTCATGAAACCTCAAAAAATCCATTGCTTCCCTAATGGAATGAAAAGAAACAAGTCCCTTAAGATCTCCTCCTTATCCTATTCTAATCAAGCAAGGGAGAACTTTGAGATTCTTTAACCAATCTGCTAGTTCGTGGATGTCGGTATTAATAAAGGAAAAGACTACTCAAGATAGGCATTTAGAAATTTGCAAGGATACAGATTCCAAATGTCCAAATCCCTTGTTAATGCCTATTAAGAAGATGAGTCCGGGTAAGAAAAGACGAGACAAGATGTCCAAAAAGAAAAAGGTCATGACGCCCCTTCTGGTCCAAAAGTGGTTTATCATGTTGTTGGGTTTGGAAAACCCTACACTACTGTTGTTGAGAAGTTAATGAGCCTATGTCTTCATGTCTAACTAATAACTGATATGAAGGTTTAAGCATCGAGAATGGAAGTAAAGGTTCAGTGAGAGACAATCCTGCCACAGGATCTTATTGAAGTGAAATCCATTGGATCCAATGAAGATGACCCTATGGCTTTTGAAGCCAACCAGGTATAGTTCATCCCCACACCCACTACCTTCAACTTCTCCGCCACAACAAGGAAACATAGTAGGCCGCACATGTCAAGGGCGTCTACGATGTAACCGGTCAACTCCCATATTTGTATCCCATAGCAAGTCATGAAAGTTGTACCCCCATTCCCCAGTATAATTCTTGTGTTAGTATAGTTAAGAGAGCTAAATCCTCTCCTTGTTCTACTTGTAGTCTTGAGTCACCTAGCCTCTTTTTTGAACCATTGTAAAAAAATAAAAAAAAAATTAAAAAAAAATAAAAAAATAACAAAAAAAATATAAAAAAAAAATAAAGAGGAAATTGAGGAAGTATATTTTCTCTTTGGTAAATCAACCATATGAAAAGGTTCTACATTTCAAAAGTTTATTGTAATTCAGGTGGCTAACATGCGCAATGTTATTCATGTCTATAGAGCTCTTTCACTTGTTGATAACATTAATGTGAGAAAATCTATAAACAAATATTTTTAAAGGTATAAATATCCACACATTATTTTTAAGAGTTCCAAAAAAAAGGCAAGTAACATTAATAAGGTAAATAAATATTTAAGAGGGTTTAATTGTTCAAACACTATTCATAAGGATTAAATCATTAAATCACACAAGGAAAAACTTAAAGGCAATTAACATCATATCAATAGGGACATATTGGTAAATAAACAATATAAGGATATACCTATCCTCACACTATTCATAAGTGTTTTATCTTACTTTTTTAAAAAGTTAGGGATTGTTATGATGAAAAGGCTCTACGCATGGTAATGAAAAGGATCTTAGTAAGTATTTATGCTATGAAAAAAAAATCTTAGTAAGTATTTTGTATGATAATGAATTGGTGTTACATATAAGATGGGAGGCTTCCTGAAATGATAATCATTATGCAAGTCTTACAAAAGAATTAAATATCGTAACACAAGAGAATAAGAGATGAAACATTGAAGAATGTCAGTGCGATATTCATCTTGAAAATAATTGTGCGCCATTAAGATAACAAGCAGACGACGGATCTTGGACACAGGTGCAGAAATCATTCTCGTCTTTGGGAAAAGATGCTGGAAGAGGATGATCCGGTTTAATTCCCACCTACAATGTCAATGAAAACACGATTTAAATGCCATGCACAACAAGAAACATCCAACAAAACACAGAAACATGAGAAGAAAGATATATAAGGCATACCTTGTCAATATCTGTGTGAGCAGGCGTCTCATAGCGAGCAACTGTGACTGCCAAGCCAGATCCATCAGATAGTTCAAAAACTGATTGTATCTTGCTGCGAAAGGGAAATTAAATATACAATCAGATGGTTATATAAGCACAATCAAAAGATGAAGAATTTATTTTTAAGCAAATACCCTTTCCCATATGTTGGCTCTCCAAACACCACAGCTCGTTTGTTATCCTTCAATGCACCAGCTAATATTTCACTAGCACTTGCAGTCCCCTTGTTCACCTAATACGGATCGAACAAGGTTGAAATAAACAATCAAATAATGGACAGATTGCATTAAATTATATACAGAAATTGTGAAACCAAAAATATACAAGAAAAAACAGTAAAAAAAAAAACTCAATATGGTGGGTTCAATAATAATGTATATGAAAATGAGTTTAAAAAGACAAAAGTATGGTGATCATATATATTTGCACTACCTGCATTGATACCATATCATAAAATTGTTGATAACATCGCTGAACAAACATTTAGTTAGATTGCTACAACTTTGGGTGTGAAGACAAATTGGTAGTCAAAACTCTTAATCCAGCATTTAACATGTTTAAAATTGCTAATTACCACGTGTAATTTAATGTACGAGTCTTGTACGGAGCATGATCCCCTAAAATATGCTTTCTTAGATCCAGTAAGCTGTTATTTTTTTTTTTTTTTTTTTTTTGGAGGGGCGGGGGGGGGGGGGGGGGGGGGGGGGTAGGTGGGGTGTAGGGGGAAGGAGAAGGGGAGCACTTTTAACAAGAAATAGAGGGAAATGATTTACCAAAACAGCAAGGGGTTCTGATGCGGCTATAGCGTTGCTTCCTTCAACATCATATATATCCCGAACACCACGACTATCACATATATACACAATAACTCCTTTGTTCAACCTAGATAACAGAATATATAAAATCATTGGTTCAGTCTATAAAAGAAAATATGAAAGGGAAATAAAAGAGAATTTAGATCTATGATAACATCAAGATAACCCATATGCATCAATGCTCGTAAAGAAACAATGCTATTTGTCACTGCACCAAGTGCGTTACAGCATAGCACATACATGCTCATAAATTGTGCAAAGTTTTAAGAAAACTAAGCAGGTTTAGAGCCTATTCGTTTCGCTCTTTTGCTCATGCACCACCTGGCCTATTCCTTTCATTTCCACTGGTAGGCATTCGAAGTACCCCCAGACAAACCAACTTACACTCTATTCTCTCCGTTCCAGCAACTCCTACCCTCCTTGTCACCGCCCTACACCCTCTAATCCTCTTAATACCTCAATCCACTGCTCCGACCACAAACAGTAACCATGCTCAAAATTGTAGAAAGTACAGTAAACAACATCTTACCATAAGACAAAGGCTTCAAGATTCAAAAATAATTGGTTAAGCTTTAAGACTAACCAAAATGGTAATAGGCATCCCAGCTATTGCAACAACTACCATGGCTGCTCTGGTCTTTTTACTATTACTAACATCATATGGACACAGATGCAAAGATTCTATCAAAGAGCATGCGGCCGTACTAGCCATAGAGAGAGACCTTTAGTATGGGATGACAAATACAGGGATTTTGAACATGTATGTTGCCATTTCCAAATTTTGGATTGACATGTATGATATGGACCATATGGTTCTCAAGATCTTTCCCATGATTATTAGAGAAGCTTATAGGCAAATTTTGCAGTATTTTCTTTTATTAATCTCAACTTTGGATTATTGTGGAATAATCTGAACTTTGGGGGCTGTTTACTTTCTTCAATCCCAAACCAGTCAACAAAAGTTAATGACCTATTGTATCAGGTCACTTGACACGTGTCAAGTCATGATTGGTCCAAAATTAAAAAAAATAAAAAAAAATCTGAAAAACCAGCCAGCCTCCCCTCCCCCCACCGGCCCACCCTAACCTCCACCACCACTGCCCAGACCGCCGCCCCTCCCTCACCAGACCGCCGTTCTTCCCTCGCCGACCCACCGCGCCTCCCGTAGTCGTTTTCCCCCTTCCTCAAAACCCCCTCCCATCCCCCCACGCAACCACCACAGAAATCCCTCCCGCACTCCCATAAACCTCGAATTGCTCCTTCCCCCACCCCGAAACCCTAGCGCCTAGGGTTTTCGATGGTGGGGGAGGAGTGTTTTGTTTTTTGTTTTTAAATTTTTGGATCAATCAGGACTTGACACGTGTCAAGTGACCTGATATAATAGGTCATGGACTTTTGTTTACCGGTTTGGGATTGAAAAAAGTAAACAGCCCCCAAAGTTCAGATTATTCCAAAATAATTCAAAATTGGGATTATTAAAAGAAAATACAACAAAGTTGGAATTATTATTTACAATTTTTCCTTGAATATATATATGCGTGATTGCATGCACGTGGATGGAGGTGATTATAATTTGGCATATGAAAATATCTTATAAAAGAATCATCACTACTATTTCTTCTCAACACACTTAACATATAGAAATGAAAGTAGGACTCCCGCACATCATAGGTTTCACCAGAAGAATGTCACAATTAATTCTGAAAGCAGAAAAAGGAGGTGCCAGAGTAACTAAGCCCTTCAAGCACATTAGATTTGGTCGTTTAATTCACAAGAAAAATCTTTATTTCAATCCACTTCTATGGAACACATAATATGCAATTTTAGGTAGACCTAGTTATCATTGGGATACCCTACCCAATAACCAGGTCTAATTTTAGGTAATCAAATTGTAGATTCTTCCGTACATTAGGAGCAAAGAGATGATATATGGATAGGAAACAGGAAAGTGTGCATGTCTACTTTACAAAGATCAGTTACAGGAAGGAAAAAGGAAAGAAAGCCATGGTATGCTTTAAGTTGATACAATGTCCGTGTAATTTGGATGTAGGTAGACTTAGGCTCATATGAGAAGACCACTTATGGTGAGAGGGGTGAGAAGAAACATCATCCATTAACTCTGGCTTGTAGCAATCAAGATTATAAGTAAATACAAGTCTTTTACAGCTATAACTAAAAGAAAAGGTGCATGATGATTGTTTTTGAACTTCTCTAGCCAAGTCATTGGTTCCAATTCTTCATAAACAAATAAAATCCCTTTGATCTTCTCCCTCTCTCTCCCTCATCCAAACTCACAACCTCTAATAAAATCAGCTCTAATGGACTGTGCAAGATTTCACCACCACCTATTCGCAAGTATATTTTTTCTCTCCTCCCACAATTTTTCATTGGCAATTCTTCAAATCTCATCAACAGACCCTCTCTCCTTCACTCTGCAATTACTCAACTCGCCCTTGTCAAACCTGAGGTATGTGGCTATAAAGGGGGGAAAAAGTGTGTGTGTGTGTGTGTGTGTGTGTGTAGGGGGGTGGGGGTGGGAGGGGTAGAGCGCTTTGAAGAAGATAGAGATTGTACTCTGATTTGCTGCCAATTTAAAGTTGAATTCATGAATTTTAATTTGTCAATGGTGTTGAAGATGCATATTGAATTTGGATTTCTGCAACTTAAATTTTCTTCTATTTTAGACATACTCTCCTGGACCCCTTAGCTTGCAGAAAAATTACATTATAAAATATCTACTTGCATTTCAAATTAATTGGTTGGTAGTGATGGTTTTTTTACATGTTATTGATGCTTCATTAATTTTCAAAAGTTGATTGCAAAATCTACAAAAGTTCTCTAATTAAGTGTTTCTCTCCTCTACTATTCTCTCTTATTTCAGTACATTAAGAAACTTTGTTATGTACTTGTATATAACACAGCTTGGTAATAGTTCAGAATAGTTCAGATTCTTTGCTGATCAGATTCTTTGCACATCAGCATTAACTCTAACACAGCTTGTAGACAACTATATATAAAACGTTAGTATATATAGCATATGGCTTACCAAATTTTGGCTGTCTCAATTCCCTCTGGAAAGAGGCCACCGCTGCAAAGTTTACACAAATCGTGAAAAAAAAGGTGCAGTATGGTTAATGTTTAAGCTGGAAAAGAATGCATGCCAAATTTCTTTACCTATTATCCCGGAGATCCAGCACAAAAGCATTAACATTATTACTTCTTAGTGTTTCTATGGCTTCCTTGACTGCATCTGTTTTATTAAATGGTCAGAAAACAAGATGAGCACATAGTGTCCATGGAAGTTTCATGTTAAAATTCCCTGTTACTACATAAATTAAATAGTTATTATGAAAAAAAATTCTTAAAATTAATGCGAATGCAAAGCTCAAAGAGCTTAAAAAAGCAAACCGCAGCATCCACTTAGCTTGTTTTCCAAAAAGCATGTATTTTTCTATTAAAAACAGGAATCCATACAGATCAGTCTAGATCTATAGACAAAAAATACTCCAGCTACCAATAACAAGTAAAACCATCACAATCAACAAATCATTTGAAATAGAGCAACAATGTAATTAAATGCATAGGGAACAGGCAGCAACCAGCTTCTTAAGAAATAGACATCGATTCTGTATCACAAAGCGAAATATATCAGCAAACAATAGAAAAGAACTCACCAGAAGCGTTCTGAGTGAAAGACATTAACTTAATATATCCTACATTTTGAGGAGTATCCTTCGCTGAACCAGGCATCTCACATAATCTGGATTTTACTGGGTTTAGAGTAACTCTCTCACGCCTGGAATTAGTTTTCAGTCATAAAATAAGCACAAATATCACAATACTTGTGCAAAAGATTAATATTACTGCATATTTGGAATTTAGCATGTATAGCAAACATTATTTGAGAAGCATACAATAAGTAGATAACTGAGTATATGGTAGTGTTTGAGAAATATACTTTATAGTACTTACTTTAACCCCACATGTTTTATTTCATCTTTACTACGGATTGTCAACTCAACAGAACTTCCATCAGCCCCCCTGTAGGAGACTTGCAAGAAAAATTGATTCAGTCATTGAATAAAGCTTGAACATTTTTGAAGTAATTTGTGGTATCAAATATTCACTGTATTATACAAAAAATTTCTCATTTTTTTGGGGCACGTCTACTTACACAAAACTTGGACCATCAATATCTTTATTTATACATTAGCAAAAATTATACTTCCTCTGTTCCACAAATATTGCAACAAGGATGAAATTATGCGTCCCAAAGCACATTTCATATGCTAAATATCTATAATTATATAAGACTAAATATTATAAAAAGTTGATATTGTGAAAGTATTTTACAAGACGAATCTAACAAGACCTCACATGACTATATTTTACTTTACGTATAAATTATAATATGTGGTCAAACAAGCGTGATGAATAGTATAAAAGTCCAGTTGTTGCAATATTACTAGAACGGAGGAAGTAATAAATAAATAAACTATGTTTTGAATACATAAATTGAGAGTAATTATCCAATAACAATTTCATAATAAACACGAGTAGTTTATATAATAGTAAAACAAATTGGTCAATGTAAGCACATAAATATTGCAACAAGTCAAAGTAGGAAGTTTTTTGTGGAACAGAGGGAGTATGTAAGAACGATCACAAAGTGGCATATCTTGGATCAAGCAACAAATGAAAATTTTAATCTACACCAGAGAACAAATATATTTGCAAACAAGTACAGAATAAGAAAAAAATATGTATGAATTGAATGAGAAAGATATTCTTAAAAAAAAAAATATTAAAAAAAATAAAATTAATGAGAAAGATAATTTTATTTTTGATTGTATCACTTCCAGTGCAGTCAATGGTCTTTCCAAATTAATAATTTTTTTCAAATAGCCTTACAAAAGTATAGACATGTGCTCTGTATAAAGTTAATCAGCTCTTATTTGCCTTATTCAAAAATCATTTCAGTTTTTGCATTTATTTATTGCTTTCATAAATAATTTTCTTAAACTTATTCCCTAGTCAAAGAATTTCTTTGACAAACATTTGACTAAAGAGTTTTTGCAGCCTAAGGGATGATCAGAGATGTAACACAAAAGGTATGCACTTTTTCTTTTTTTTTTTTTTTTTGAAACAACAAAAGGTATGCACTTTTCAGTGATTAATTAACACTTTGTATGCAACCTGGTAATTTGCTTTTTTGCATCTAGATGAGAAGTGAAGAGAGCCTAAATTTGTAACTCAGAAAGCATGCTTGCATTTAATAATATACATTAAAATGACTGGAGACACTCTGATACAAAATATGAAGGAATATGTTTCTCTAGCTTCCTTTACATCAATTTGATAAACTCACTTTGGTAGCAGATTACAAGCTCCAGAGACCTAGAATTGCATACAAGATTTAGACATAGAATGTCAACTAGGATATGACTAACAAATATTTCTCCAAAACAGCATACACTAATACCTAATTATATTAGATATTACATCTGTCAATGGCCAAATAGAAAGAGATCTCATAATATTGATATCAAATAACATAAAAGTATAAATCTTGGGAGTAAAGATTTAGAAGTGAGTTTGAAGGAAACAAACAAAGTACAGTACTTACAAAAAAGGTCAGTAACAGAAAATTATAAAATTCCTTTGTCTCCCTCATATGAATTACTAATCTTTCATTTCTGAATTCTAATGCAACCAATGCCTACTAACCAAATTGCTTCTGGGTAATATAGTGTCCAATTATAGAACTATAGCTAATGTTTACTGCAACTTCCTAAGAAATTTATGCCTATAATGAAGGTTAACTAATTCAACCACGTGAATCAGTTAGGTAATACTCCCTCCATCCCATAATATAGTTCTTGTTTCTCATATTTCAGAGGAAATATGAAATAGAAGGAGAAGTGTGTAAAAGTGCATAAAAATCAGTAAAAGTACATAAAAGACAAAAAAAATTCTAGAAAAATACAATAGCAATAATAAATAAAGAGGAAAAATCCAAAAAGCATTTAGTATGGGTAAAAACTAGGAAAAAGGTAAGGGTAGTTTGTTATGGGAATTTTAAAAGGTGAGGGTATTTTGGTCATTTTAAGTAATGTAAACAAGTAAAGAAAATAAATGGAAACAACATATTGGGAAACCCAAAATGGAAAACGAGAACTATTAAAAGTACAGAGAAAGTAGCATTTTTTTTTTTATTTACTGTATTGGAAGCAACTCCAAAGAATTCCTGCAGATATTTAATAATCAGGATAAACATGCTAAGCCAAAATCTCAACTGAAAGATAAAAAATAACTGTAGAAGCTCTAGGTACTAGAAGAAATCAAAGCCATGAGTTGACATTTGAGAGCAAATTCAACCTGATATTAACAAAAAAATAAAAATAAATAAAAAAAAAAAAACAAAAAAAATTAGATCTTCAAAAAAAAGAAACTTCTCAATAGAACTTGAATGTATCATAGATATCTCACCTTCTTGTGTTTCTTCCTATAGATATAAAGGGGAGAAATTGAGGAAGGCAAGGAAAGTGAGAATGGTACAAAGCCAAGAGTTTATGCCCAAGTTTATAATTATGATTATGGAGGAGGGGCCAGGGGGAAATCTTAGTAATTAGTACTTCATACATATTATGGTAAAGTCCAAAATCAGGATGCTATCCTCTTGCATCCAGATTCAGAGATTATCATGGCTGATTGGCTGGGTGGTTTTCTCATACAGGAGGCAGCCAAAAGCTCAACAAAGAGTTGTACAGGGTTCATTAAGTCAACAACAGATAAAAGGGTGGAAAAAGTAATAAAGTGTTTATTAACATTAAAAGGCAAAAAAAACGAAATACACAAGCAGGCATATACTATAGGACAGGTTATTCAAGTAGACAAGAATTACAATACTTAAGAGAGACAAGGGGAAAGAGACATCTTATGATAAAGAAGAATATAATAGCAAATAGGAAAAGGCCAATTCATGCAAGAAAACCCACTGTAAGATATTTGCTGCCTCATATATGCCCATTCCTTCAGTGCTCGCACCATCAATAGCCAATATTATATCACCAGGCAAGATGCCAGCCCTACTGGCAGGTCCCCCAGGAGCAGCAGAGATAACAACTACTCCAGTAGATGATCTGTCAATGGTGATGGGACCAATAGATATCCCTACACCCGTAAGCGAACTCTGAGTTCCAGACTGCCTTCAAGAAATGATATAAAATAATTCATAAACGGTTTAAAAATGTAGATCAATTACATTGAAAATTGAAGTTTGGTAGAGAATATGAAGCACACACAACGTCACAAATCAAATTGGAAAATCCAAGCCATACCCGCAAATTCTTCAATTTTTCAGGCTCCAAAAAACGTGTGAATGGATCATTCAGTGTAGAAATCATCTTTCTTATTGCCGCATCTGTTCAAATTAAGGAAAAATAAAGAAGGTTTTATCATTAGTAAACTGTTAAATAGGCAAGAAAATAGTTGTCATATCCTGTATTTCAATGAATATGCATTACTTTTTTGTTCAATTCTATCAGAAACAACTAGAAAAATCTTCCTACATCGTACTACTTTCTAAGATTAACAATAGTATGGAATATAGTTCAGAAAATAAATTCTTTAGGAGTAACATGCAACTTTGAAAATGGATCTTGTATAAATAGAACAAATTTGTTGGCCACTTTTTCGTACACTGTTACGGGAACAAATAAAGACTAAAAGAAATAAACATACAAGTCTCTTCTCTGCTGTTCATAGGCTCATTGCGCAGTGCGTTCTCCCTATAGCGAAACCAACTTTGTCCATTAAAAGTCTTGTCAACATAAGCACGATCTAATGTTCTCCAAGCTTCTAAGAAAAGGCGATTCTCCTCAGAAAGGGACCCTGCAGAATATTCATGAGACCTGACATCCGGAGATTTAACAAATGAACTTCAGTATCTCTTCAAGCTATTCCATGTTTCAAACTTACAAGATGGGCCCTGGTTTATAGATACAGAAACAAACATAACCAATACAACTTCAACAACCAAACGAACAAAGGGGACATAGTTATGACGTTTTCTTTTTCCAGGGTTGCTGAATATGTTATAGATTTCAGCACTGCATTTCTTGGCTTCCCACCTTATTGTAGATAGACCATTCTGGAACAACCTCTTATCGCTTTTCCAACGCGTCAAAAGATCTAACTGACATGAGCAACAAAAGTTTGGGATCCCAACAATAGCATCACATGCATGATTCAATTTCCTCAGCAAAACTCGCCAGAGATGAAATTCTGAAATATTTGTGTGGGCACATTTCCAGGAAAGTACCTACAAAGGTCAAATCATTAAGTAGTATGCCTCTAAAGTAAATTTTAAAAAAGAACATTCATGATTATTTTGTGTAACATTAAATTAAAACAAAAGAACATACGTTTAAATTAAAACAAAAAACATTAACAGATGTTCGTAAACTGACCTTCTCTAAGATGGTGGGTTCAGATGCATTAGCCAATTCAAGGAGACGAAACAAGCCAACTGCAAAGAACCGACTATAACTGAAATTCCTATTTCCACCAGCTCTTGCAGCAATATCCTTTAAGATGTCCTCTATTTCACCTTTTCTTGATGAGAAATCAACCAATGAAGCAGATGTTTGGGTACGAGCCCACTCCTCCAGTTTCTGTGCATCTTTTCTAATGAATAGAAGGTTGAACTGTCACTATTTAAATCACAATTCAAATGTTTGAAATTGGATCATCATTATCTAAATTAAAGTTAAATAAATATATAACAGTCATGACACAAGGCAAAATTTCTGGACCATGAATTCTACACAGGCATATATATATATATACTGATATATATACTCAAACAGGTCATGCAATAGTTCACCCTTATGGAAGGGATACTGACAATAACACAGTTCGACACAAAGACTACAATGTAGTGAGCCTTACCTCTCTAGCCAATTGAGATTAGTTAAGTACTCCCTCCATTTTACAATAATTTCCCCCTCTTACTGTAGCTCCACATACAAAGGCAAAGAAAAAAGTGGGGTAAATGGGTACCTTTTACACACGTGAAAGTACACTTAAATAAAAGTGAGGAAAGTGTGTCCCCATAGGATGGGTAATCTAAATCTAAATTGGTAATTTTTCTGCAGAAATAGAAATAAAGCACAGGAAGAAAGGATTCTATTGAAACTTAAAAGGAAAAGAACTTTGGGGAATGGGGATAAAGAATAAAAAGCCCTATTATATTAAAGGGTTAGTATACTACCTTAAATGCCCCATTAAAACATAGAGAAAGATGTATGATTCCAAAGATACCTAGACATCTGATTGGATAAACAGGAAAAGATCTACTTGAGTGACTTGAAAATGAACATATAAGGATAATATGGGTAGCTATGAATTGAGAAATACATGAACTTGTGACAGGATACTTATGTGGCTAACGTGCGCAATGTCCGGGGAGCTTTTTCAGTTGTTGGCAAAATCAATGAGGGAAAATATGTAAACAAATACTTTTAGGGGTATAAATATCCGCACACTATTCTTAAGAGTTCAAAAAAAAAAAAAAAAGCAATTAACATTAATGAGGGCAAATAAGTAAATAAAAATTTTAAAAGGTACAGTCCAAAAACTATTCACAAGAGTTATGAATAACTTATTAAAAGGTAAGGATTTAAAAAAGGCAATTAACATCAATGAGGGCAAATAAGTAATAAACATTTTAGAGGGTATAATTGTTCAATACTATTCATAAGAGTTATCTCAAACTTTTTAAAAGGTATGGAACATGAAGGAAAGCTAAACCGAGGTCAAAAATGTAATTATGAACAAGAATTTCTTAAATAAAAGATAGAAAATAAAATCAAAAGATTTTGAAGGTAGATGTTCTATAATCAACCTTTGTTATAATATAAACAGTGACATGTATTGAAGATACAATTCCTTAACTCGTTCAAATTATGTGCTTATGCAAGTGAGCAGCATGGAAAATTTAAATTATTATCACCTAAAACTCTAGTAGGGGGACATGCTTTTTGCTAGTGGGAGTCAACTTCACTTCGAAATTTCCAATTTTCACCTAATAATTCAAAAACATGACAAGTAATTGTAACCAACACGAACCTGTACTGCTCAGGATCCACATTTAGTGCCCTTAAGTAAGCTTCAAAGATGGCACTTTGATCTTCATCACTGGGATACCCCTCCATTAGCTGATCATAGACAGTAACAAAACCAAGGGCAAACACAGGATGATATCTGTATGTCCTTTCACATCTCATCAAATGTCGCTGAATAAACAACTCTTGTAGCAAATTGTTGTAGATACTAGGAATTGGCCGTTTGTAGGCCTTGAGAAAATTTAACTTCGTCGCGGATACTGGGGGGGTTTCTGAAAGTATACACAATTAAAATTATTATTAAACTGAAAAAAAAAAAAAAAAAAAAAAAAAAAGTCCTTTTCTCATTTTTCCCTTGACAAACTTGTATAAGGAACTACAAATGAAGTTAAAACTTATTCCCCTTTACAGTAACTAAACCAACTACCAATATGATACAATACCCAAATAGAGTAGAGTGACAAAAAAAAAAGCCACTATCTTCGCTCTTACCAGCCCCAGCATACATGGCATATTTTTTACTTGTTATCTAGTGAGAAAAGAAACTTCATGCTAGGAGTGTAGAGTGTCTAAACACCGTCGTGCATTGCATGCTTGCATATTTGTCAGCAAGGGTGCATGCGTTGTGTGGAAAGGGGCTTGTGTACACACAGTGACCCAAGTGTTTGATTTTAGAAGGGACATTCATTCCTATTGACAACAAGGGTTGATGAGCAAATAGCATTTGTAAGACTCTAGTGAGTTAAGGATGTTTTAAACAAGTGGTGATACAACATTTATATTGGTCTAAAACATAAGACAAGTACCAAAGCAAGGCAACACAAGGTAGCAATCTTTAATTTCACATCCATTGATCATCACACAATCCACTACCTAAAGTACTTTATTTTGGAAATACACACTCAATTGACCGAAACACCAAAATTGAATCTAAAGCATTGAAAATCTTAAAAGAAATTTTAAAAAAATATAAAAAATAAATTAAAAAAAAAAAAAGTCCTGAAAAGCATTAAATAAGGAAAATACAAGTCATGCAAGGTGGGTACTAACCAGTGTTTGAAAAAGCGCGCCTAGGCGCTAAGGCGAAAGGCGATAGGGGGTAAGCGCTTATTTTGGCCTAGGCGAGGCGTTTTTAATTAGGCGCACCAGAAGCAAATATCTGCCAATTTTTTTAACTGTTTATATAGTGCGCCTCACTTCAAAGAGGCGCTCTTAGGTGCTGCATCACCCTTATTGCTTCAGCGCGCCTTTAGCTTTTTTATACATTGGTACTAACAATAGGGCTAAAGCCATATCAGACTTTAAATAAGGAACAGTCCATTAGCTTTTTCCATTCTTTCAGATGCTAACACTTACACTACTCTTAATATACATTCTCTCTACACGAACAAACTCAATAAATAAATTCAGGACACATTGATACAAGAAGAGATTGTTCATCAATATTATTAAATCATCAAATTGAAAATCTTTTATCTCATAATTACTCATTGACAATGTGAGCAATTAGCAACTATTCAAAAACCTGACATTATATTTAGAAAAAACAGCTGAAAAAACAGAATTTGATACAAATATGAGGCAGCGAAGGGGCAACTTAAACAACACAGTCATAATTCATCCAGAACTCACGATTGCTTAACAGCATACATTGCCACAATTACAACACAGTGATTCATTCCAAATATAGTAGAGGTTCGAAGCATTTTTTCACATATATTCTTTTCCTAGATTTAACCAAATGACTCAGTCACACAGGTGGTTGCAACTTGCCAGGGACTGTCATTTGGTTCATTTACTCTCTAAACTGAAAACCAGAAGTTCTTTAATCACATTATCTTTCCTAACCACCATATATTGCTTTAGCCAACAACCTTTGGTCCTCATTTTCCCATTATCCTTCAAATAATACTTAAATTCGACGTTAAACTTCCACCAAGACCGATTCTTATAAGAACCTCTCATCTTCAACAAAGATAAGCGACAAACAATTGGGTTAAAGTCTTAGTTCAAGCTTGGATTAAGGCCAATATAAACAATCACATCATTATCTCATTTTCCTTGAAATCACGCCATCACCACCTCATTTTTTCTCGCAACTACCTAAATCCATCTCCACTTTCATTTGTTTGAACTCTTTTACTCTTTAATACACAACACCCCTTCCAAGCATGCCCTTAGGAGTGGTAATCAGTGTACCTTGCATCAAAGCCCTTAGCATAACTAATTAATCGCGACAATTGAAGTTTCGTGCATAAAAGCTTCTTCCTTCGTTTTACTATTAATCGCGACAATTGAGGTTTCGTGCATAGCTTTAAATTACGAAATGTTAATTTTTAAATGATAATTAATAAATGTGGTCAAAGATAGTACTTACATGCACTGAATTACAAAAATAAAAATGATACAGTAATTAAAAAAGAAAAAAAGAAAAAACATTGCATAATACAATACCAGTAATAGCAGAGGTAGAGGACATGCACTGAATTACAAAACCAAAAGAAGAATTCGAAGCGCTAACAGCAGCAGAAGGATCGGAAGATAAATCAGAGCGCACTCGAATGGATTCAAAAGTTCGAGTCGAAGGAACGCTCAATTTTCTCTCAAATGACTGAGATAATGCGGAGAAAGACAACGAGGTTACAGCCGCCATTGGAGATGAAAACCAAGCTCAATTATCACAGAGTATTGAGTTGACGATGAGAGAGATTTGGAATATTTTTGGTTGAATTTAAGCAGAGATTTTCGCCATTGATGAAGAGTTAGTGAAGGCTTCTCCTTGTATATTTTCTGTTGCTACAGGTAGAAGACGAGAGAAGAGAGGCTGAAAATTGAATTTTATCCGACTTTTATTAAGGGAGCGCATCCATTAATATACTTCACTCGTTCTATATAGTTGGCGTTTTTAATTTAGATATACGTATCAAGAAGAGAAGAGAATGATAAAGTAAGTGCGATATACTTAAAAAAGCAAGGTATAAAACTTAATCCAAAAAAAAACGTATCAACTAAATGAACTAAAAATAAACAAACTAAAAAAAAATACGTGTCAATTAAAAAAGACGAAGGTAAGTATTTGATAAACAAACAGGTTCATATTGTCAATATGGCGAATGACAGGTGTCTAAAAATGCTTCGTAGGGAATGATTTGGTAGCAAGGGTTTTCCACCTAGTGTAATGGCGCTCAATTTTGTAACGGTAGGTTTGCAAATCATTAAGTAACGTGGACTGCAGCGCACCATGAAATTTAATAATTCGTTGGTGGTTGTATGTTTGTCGGCACTTTTAAAGCTCTAGTTGAAGTGCTGCAAAAGCAGGTTCATATAGTCAACATGGCGAATGACAAGTGTCTAAAAATGATTCGTAGGGAATGATTTGGTAGCTGGGGTTTTCCACCTAGTGTAACGGAGCTCAATTTTGTGACGGTAGGTTTACAAATCTTTAAGTAACGTTGACTGCAACACACCATGAAATTTTATAATTCGTTGGTGGTTGTATGTTTGTCGGCACTTTTAAAGCTCTAGTTGAAGTGCTGCAACCGGGTTTGGAGGCTAAGGAGGTGAGGTGGGTTGACGGGAGTCGATTAGCTTGGAGGTCGATCGTCGTCGCCATTGAGTTCCCAATCTTCTATAAGTAAATTTTTCATTGATAATTTGTACCAATTCCTAATAAGCTTTGGGATTATAAAACAAGTTTGGAATTTTAAGTAAAATTAAAACCGTAGTCGATTTGGGAAGTGGAATCTGCAAATTTGTAAAAGTCGAATGTTGTTCCAAACATGAAACATGATTAATTGATTCGTTTGTGAATGTTATACCCAAAAATCAAATTTTTGACTTTTAATTGACTTTCTTGACTTTATCTAAGTTGAGAAGTCCTAGAGTCAGTGAAGGGTCTTTGGGTTAGTTTGATTAAAACATAACAACCATTAGGCTGATATCACACTAAGGCCCAATTACATTTAGACCGGATTAGAAGGCTAATGGATGACTTTAATTTTCAAGTAGAGTTGGCGCCAAGAAACATAACTGTACAACAGTTATGGGGGTCAGCCATAACCGCTCCATTTTGCCCATGAATAGAATTGCAGGGATCGAAAGAAGACATTAGCAAATAACTCAATAACAAGAATTTCATTTCTTTTAAGCTTTCTTATTAGCTTTTGTAGTTTCCCTTGACTTAGTAGCTAGGCGATAGTGTAGTTTATCACATAGCATGTATTGAAGATCATTCGTCATTTTCCAATTGTATGACCATGGAGGTAACCTTTCCTTCAACTTGTACAATTGTAGACTTGACTCTATCCTTTCATTAATGGAATGCATTTATATCTCTTGTCATATGTTTATCTACTCGTTTCTTTGAGCAATCTAACTTGTTTTGGAAAAGCTTCCTTATTTGTTTGTTTTACGTTAGCAAGATTATCAATATTTGAAATCGATAACCCGAGAGGCAGCCCCCTAATACTCTAGAACAAGATAAAGTATTTAACTTGTTAGTAAAGTGTAATATTTACCTCAACAAAATTTTGGCGACCACAGTGGGAGAATACTAGACTTAATCCATTTAACTCTTGTTAATTTGGAAGTTTTTCCCATGGCTTCTGAGCATTCAACACGTAAGGGAAATACTCAGGATGATGTTAATTCATCTTAACACAATCCTGAAACTATTTTAGAGGATCAAACAGATCTAGAGAATCAACTGCCAACATAACACATGTCACACTCTTTTGAACCATTAGAGCCTCACTCACAAAGGCAAGATAAATCGGTTTTAGAAGGAATGGAAAGCCAGTCCCCTACCAGACACTTACTCAACACAATTTACACAAAATATGTGGAAATAGTGAAAAGTTTGATGGAGGATCTAAAAGGAAATAATAGAGAGAAATTTGACAACTACTATTGTGTCATGGTGGAAGAAATTGCCAAAGTGGTAACTGTTGAGTTGAGGAACTTTGACTCTGTTACCCAACAAGCAGTTACCAGACAGGTAGATAGGATTATTCTAGATAATAATGATACTCTAAACGCTACTAACGTGACATTATTAAAAAGTGTAGCAACCGAAGTGGTTACAAGGGTTGATCCTTTAGTGGAAAAGCATAACCAACTTAAAGAAAAGTTGATGAATGTTTTAACCGCTTTAGGTAGTGGGATTACTGAAGCAAATCAAAGGGATAATGTCCCTCTGGGATACCCTAGATTAGAAAATATGACAAGATCTCATGCAAATCCTCCCCCTCTGTCAGTTCCAAGAAGCATCCCTCCTATTGGTTCTGATGAGGGGTATATGAGTCAAGGAAGAATTAATGGTTCAGGGCCAGGTTATGAGTCAGGCTACAACCATAATAGTCAGGGTCCATCTTATTCTTCTTTGCCTTCCCTGGTTACCACACACCCATTAACCTCTTCACAGGGTGACATACCACCTTTAGCAGCAGAGATTGGTGTCAGTTATGCCAACTATGGTATTGGAAATCTGTCAGATCCAGCATGCCACACACAAGCTGCTATATCTACACAAAGGATGTCTTCTCAACCTATTGGCGTGAATGGTCAATAATCATCCACATAACCTGAGAATTACAACCATTATCCACATGGATACTCAAACCCTGTCCACCCTACACAAGGTTCCTCATGGAATCAAGGTCAGGCCAATGGTCCATGTGGAGATAGGTATCCAGCGATGTTTCAACCCAATCCTTATACTTTAGGAGGGACAAGCGTTGGATATAGGGGTTTCCACAATCCTCAAGGGAATCAATATAATCCTTTTCATATGCAAGACACACCAGTCCAACAACCTAATGGTCCAATGCAAGGTCAACCTTCACAAATGAGACAGGAACCCCTGCTTATACAAGTGGAGGAGATGATCCAGAGGGCTATGGGTCATAATGGTGGATATGTTAGAAGGGGAACCTGCAGTGCGTACCCTGAATGGATTGATAGGATGTATCCTTTCCCAAGGGGGTTCAAAGTTTTTGAATCCTCACCTCTCTTCTTTGGCGACAGTACAATGTCTGCTGAGGAACACTTGGTTAGATTCAACTGCCAGTGTACGGAGGCGGCAGATAATGAATTCCTTAAGCTTAGAATGTTTTCCAGTTCTCTTACTAGTACTGCCTTTTCTTGGTTTACTCACTTACCACCATATTCAATTCCAAATTGACAAGACATGCAAACACAATTTCTTCACCATTCACTAGAATTGAAGCAGGGGTCACTATAGTAGATTTAGCTACGATAGTGCAAGAAAAAGGAGAGCCCGTAGGGGATTACATCCACAGATTTAAGAACGCTGAGATTAGATGTCACATAAATATACCTGAGTTAGAATTTGTGTCTATCATTCAATTCAAAAGGGTTTGTCTTTTTCTTATAGGAAAAAGTTTAAAGGACAATATTTCCCTGATTTTGTTGCTTTATCTAGCATTGTAATGGCTTATGAAAGATGTTTAGAAAAAGGATCTAGATCTAAACATAAATATTATGCTAGTATGGCTGAAGAGAGTAATCAGGAAGATGACATGTATGAGGCAGTGATAGTAGAGTTTGTACAGGGTCCTTCATTTAAGTTTCCTCCTTTAACTAACAAAAAGCTCACTTATAAGAAAGATTTGAGATCTAATCAAAAGAGAGAATACACCTTCGATATTAGGAGATGTGATGAAATCTTGGATTGGCTTCTAAGTCATAAAAATATTAAGTTAACAGGGAGGCATAAAACAAAAAGTCCTGATGAGGTTAAAGGAAAGAACTACTGTAAATGGCATGACGCTTTTACTCATTAAACTAGCGATTGCATAATATTTAGGAATAAGATTCAGGATGAGATTGATAAAAAACAGATAAATTTCCCTAATGAAAAAATTAACTCTTGTGAAGCAGAGTCAGAGTCTGCCTTAGAGTCTGAAGTCTATGAAATGAATTATTTTATGGTAAGTGCTGACATAGATATTGTGCAGGATGAAATACAAGGACTAAAATAAGTTACTATTACAGTCAAATTGTATGAGAGGCTAGTCAAGGAAGGAGTAATTGTTTCACCTCAATGTCAAGACGATGACTATGAAGCTATGATGATATGTAGATGGCAATTTAATTCTGCTCATGCTACCAGTGAATGTTTGGCCTTCAAAGGGATTCTGAATAAAAAGATCAAAACGAATGCAGTGATTGTTTCAGAGCAGGAATATTAGGCGATGAAACTTGCTTAATTCAATCCTAAAGGGAAGAAGGACAAAAGCTAAGCCCATTGGGAATAGTCAAAAGACTAATAAGTCACCTGACAAGATAAGCAATCACAAACAAAAGGACAGTCTTACAAAGAGGCAATTCAATTATTTCCCTTGAAAACCAAAGCAGTAGGGGACTTAAGAATTTGCGACACAATCTTTGTCAGTCTTATAGGTTGAGTTTCCATAAGGTGAATGAAGAAAAGGAAATTTTTTTACCTACGGCCAAAAGAGACAACTACGTGAGCATGAAAAAGAGAACAGAAGGAGTGTTGAAAGATAGGGTGACAAAGAATGATAATCTGAAGCTCAAGGAAAAAAAGGAAATCCATAAAAAGGCAAAATCACTCAGAAGAAGTTCAAGCAGCCAAATTCAAGCGATGACAGTTCAATTGGATGAAGATGTTTTGAAGAGAGGTGTCCTCAGAAACATTCCATCACAAATTGTCCAACCTGGAGTTGACACAGTGATTGGACAATCAATGGATGGTGAAAAATCTATCGAAATCCCTAGGGATGATATCCAAAATCATCCCATAGTGAAGGAGCTGATGGAAAGCATTCCAGAAAAGGACCTAACTCTAGAATATCATAAGGAAGAAAGCTTAGGTGAGGGTCT